TCTTCAAGCATCATTTCATGAGTGAGAAGGGAATCGATTAGTTCTTCAAGAGTTAAGGACGTTAGGTCCTTAGACTCAATGATTGCCGTCTTCTTTGATTGCCACGATTTTGGAAGGGAGTAGACTAACTTCCTCACAAGCTTTTCATTTGAAATGATCTCTCCATATGATTTAAGACCATTGACAATAGTTGAAAATCTATTCGTCATAGCTTTGATATCTTCATTTGGTTTCATCCTGAAATTTTCATAGTTATGCGTTAGAATACTAATTTTAGATTTCTTTACCTCATCGGTACCTTCATAAGTGACTTGAAGTTTGTCCCATATTTCTTTGGCGGTTATACAAGATGAAACTCTTCCGTATTCATCTGGTCCAAGAGCACAAAATATGATATGTATGCTTTGGAGTTGAGCTGGAACATTCTTGTCTCTCCTTCACTCCACAATCTTGGATGAGTTAGAGGCTTGATGTATCTTTCTTCTACGACATTCCATGCTCCCATGTCACTTACTTGAATAAAGTACATCATCCTATTTTTCCAATAGGCATAGTTAGCCCCATTGAAGAAAGAAGGCTTGTTGACGGGCATCGAATCGAGACCGGAGTCGTAATTTGAAGAGGAGGCCATTGATGACTTGATAATCGATGTAACTCTTCCCGAATCAACTCAAGAGGAAATTAAACCTTCAAATGAGTAAGGCTCTTATACCAATTTTTGAGTTAATCGATCGATGGAATCGGCCAAGAGGGGGTGAATTAGCAATAAAAATTTTGGTGGAAGATTTTACAGAAAATTGAAAGTAATTGCACAACGATTTAGAGTGGTTCGACTTTATCAACTAAAGTCTACGTCCACTACCTTAGCTATCCACACTAAGGATTTTCCAACAAATTCACTAATTTGTTCTTTCTTTTGAGGCCAAAGAGATAAGCTTACAACTCCCTCAAGAATATACCCCAATTCTTGAGAACACTCTTTTCTCAAAGAGAAGATTACAAATTTGCAAACTTACAAGAAAAACCTCACAAGGCAAATACGTTTGCACAATCCTAGAACAAAGAAAGAACACTCAAGAATAAATACAATTGAGCACAATAAGTGTTCTTGAAAGCAAAATGAATATTGAATGAAAAATAGGCTTGAAATGCTCAAACTTGAGGTTTGATGCTTTCTCTTTGAATCTCTCTTGATTCTAGGTGCTTGTTGTTTCTTGTTATTGATCAATGGCTTCTAAGCTTGTTTAAATACACCTTGAATCACTTCTGAACGTTGGGGATGATTAGTGGAGTCAATAGAGCCGTTTAATTGTGAAAATAATTAATTAAAGCTGTTGAGAGCGTCAGTGCATCGATGCATACCCATGGTGCATCGGTGCATCAGTGTAAAATTCAAATATTTTGACTGTTGGACCCTTAGTGCATCGGTGCACTAAGAGTGCATCGATGCATCAAGTGCATTCGATGTTTCAAAATAGCCAAAGTGCATCGATGCATGGCTGGTGCATCAAATGCATTCGATGTTTTCATAAAATCCTCAGTGCATCGGTGCATGGTAAGTGCATCGATGCATGAAATGCATTCAATGTTCAATTTAATTCATGGTGCATCGATGCATGAAATGCATTCGATGTTCAATTTAATTCATGGTGCATCGATGCATGGATTGATGCATCGGTGCATCACTCTGAAAAATTGATTTTAGGCTTGATTTTGGTTCAAAATAATATGTGAAAATCGTTTCAAAAATATATTAAGTATAAAACACGATTTTACACATTTAGTAAGGTTTGAAATTGATCTTAAAAGACTTGGAGTAATAATTTGATATTCGATTAATTGAATCGAATATACTTAGAAAATCATTTGTAAAATCTTAAAATTCTTTTAAACTAATTTGTTATATCGAAATATCAAAATGTTTTCAACAACATCTCTCAATATCTTAATACCTAAAAATAAACATATAATTATGTTGATATAAGTATGTTTCTGTATTTTTAAAAGAAATACAAAATTAAAAATAATAAAACTTATATATATTAAATTATTTTTGTACAATTTTTATTAAAAATATATAAATTAGAAATAATAGAAAAATATATTTTCTATGAACTTTCATGTAAATATTTTAATTTTAATATTGAGATTTAACTTGTTAAAAAAGAAAATATATCTTAACGAAAAATTGATTAAAAAAATATTTTTTCTTTATCTTATATTCCTCCAACCAAATACTATAATCTTACATTATTGTCAAATAAATCAAATAAGATAATATAACATACCTAATAATGTGTTAAGTAATGTAATATTGAGATAACCTCATTTTCAATGGTGATCTTATATTCTCTTAACAAAACAACCCCTAAAAGATACTTTTTATATAAGATGGGTAACTAATTATCTCTTCTCTTATCATTATCGTCACTGATGGCTGACAATATAAATCAGAATATATAATATAAATTATTTATTCAATCATCTATTTATTATATGTTTATGTTTTGATTACATGATTAATATAATGTTATTAGGTTTGATAGTTGATTTAACGAAAATGATGACATGGTATTGGTATAATAAAGATTTTTGTCTTTAAAATTTACACATTCTATCAAAATCATTCTAATTCAAAATAATTCAAAACAAAATCTCAATATTTAAAAATCCTATCAATTCAATTAATATTTAGATTTAAAATAGTTTCTTAATTTTATTAATAATTTAGTGGTCTACTTTCAAATTTGTCAAAGTTTAAGGACTTATTGTGAATGTCTCTTTTTATTTCAATTTCGTCTTTACTAACCATGTTCTCCATAACTCCCACCATTGTCTTCACAACATAATTTAATGTTCCTTCTCCGTATGACGAGTCTCGAACTTTCATAACAATTTTGCTCATCGTCTTCATCGCAACATCTTCATCTATTTTCCATCATCGTCACTCTTTTACAAATCACACGTCTGTCGGAAACTACTTTTCCGTATGACGAGTCTCGAACTTTCATAACAATTTTGCTCATCGTCTTCATCGCAACATCTTCATCTATTTTCCATCATCGTCACTCTTTTACAAATCACACGTCTGTCGGAAACTACTTTTTCGTTGCTCCCATCAAGTTTCTCTTCCCCGTCGTTGCTCTCACTTTCGTCCGACATCCGCTGGGCCCAACTTCCAATCATTCGTCAAAAATCAACCCAATAAGTCACGAGAGTTGCGATTGAGTCCAATGATTGTAAGGCATGAACGATGTCGTAAGAAGAGACAACGATGGCAATTGAGTAAACGGGCAACAATGATGACCAAAATTTGAGAGATGAATTTTTAGATTTTATGTTTGATCAAAATGAAGGATTCTAAATATTGAGAATTTTTTTTAATTGTTTCGAATTGGGACCAATTTGATATTTCGAATTGTTTGAATTTAAGCTCGACTTTTGCAAATCAAACTCAAATAATTTGAGGATACCAATATATTATTTACACCCCTAATTCCTCTTAAAAGTAAGGCTCACCAAACTGAATATGCAATAAAGAGTACTGATACCTTTGCATTTATAGACAAAGTTGCATAATAATAGAAATAGAATAAAGGGGTTAATATTGCTTCAAAACCTCTTTAACGTACGACGAAGTTGAGTGATAGCCAAGGCAGCTCAAAGAAATCTGGTTTAGGAACATACTACATAAGAGCACCTTTCAAAGCAATTAAAATGTCGTAAAAATTAGTCGGATATCTACAAATATTCGAACATATATTACACATATTCTCAAAGGTACCATTCACATGTCGGAATTGATGCAATGGCAACTGGTAAAGGGTACAGCCAGACCGATCATTATCGGAGAGGTTGCAGTAATGATCCACAAATTTCCCTGAGAAAATCAATTTGTTCTTCCAAAAGCTTAGTGTCACAATGGCACGGAAATCTAGGGAAAATTCATATGCAATCAAAGAGAATTGATACAATTGTATTTACAGGCGAAGTTCCGTAGGAATTGAAGTAGCATAAAGGGTTTTGATGTTGCCTCAAAGCCTCTTTTAACAGACAACATTGATTGATCTACAAAGTAACTCAATAAGACTTCACGTTCAGGAATATTAAAAGACGCCTTTCAAAGCCTTACCAGTAATCGAATAACATTTGCCCGAACTGATCAAGCAAAACTTCAAATAAAGAATCCGGCGCATTTTATGCGAAGCAGTTGCAACCGCAAAGAAATAACAAGAAATTAAGTTTCCAATTGCGCAGCCAAAACATACAGCTAGAATGTAGTCATTTGGAAGGATAGACATTACAAAAGAGAGTTTTACCTCTCCGGATGTGCTATTGATCATCAACAGCCTCATGTTTCACATGCGACTGAGATGACACAAACATGAACATCAGTATATGATGCTAAACTCAGAAAACTTACCATAAACTCGTTACAAGAGGCAGGACAGGAAAAAGGTGTCAAAGGCGTGAAACCAAACTAAAGTGAGGTCTACGGGATCATGTAACTCAATAATCTATACTAACAAACAGCTGTTGGTCTTGTTACCCATCCAAAAGGCCCTAGAAGTTTAACCTAGTTTCAGCAACTTCGTCAAAGGGGCTCAAACAAAGTTATCAAGTATATAAAGAAACAGCCTATATGTCTACCCTTCTCAAACCTAAACTACGCCTCGCATATTCAATGACTCCTTTGCTGCCCATAATTTGAAATCCTACTAGACATTTTCCAATCTATGCTTTAACAGAAACTTAAACAGGGTCGGAAACAAGTACACAGATTGTATTAAGATTACAGGTGTGTAAAAGAAGGCATGCATAAATAGAAGGGCAGTAGGTTTAATCCTACATAAAGACCAAAACCGATGTGCATAAGCTTTCATTCATGAACTGAGAGAACTGACATCATAAGGAAAAGAAAAGGTCAAACCTAAACAATGTAAAACAAAGAATCTATGAGAAATTCAGAAATCATATGCAGCACAAAAATGAAAAAGATAACAGAAAACTATGATTTACATCAGAAAATCTTATAGCAAATATATTTTTCATGCAAAGATAACAGCTTATAACAAAGTACGTTCTATAAGCAAAACCTCTGGCACAGAGTTAAAACATTTAAACATCTAAAATCGATATCGAGTTCGTAACTAAATTATCCGCATTTCGAAACCATAGTTCGAATTATAGCAGCCTAAAAAGGCATTGCCTTTAGTTCCAACTGGAAGGCCAGAATCCATGAATTCCATATCCAGTCTTCCAATTGTCCAAGAAAATCACTTTCTGCACCGCCCAAAAGGAAACAAAAAGCGCAAAAATCATCGCCACACGCTTAGCCGTCGCGTTCTTAACATAAACAAGAACATGAGTGACGAAAGCAAGCAACAATCCCACAATCGTATAAAGAAAACCCACGGCGAACCCTTCCGCTCCAAGCTGCATCCCCGATCCTTGATAAAAGAAAACTAATTTGTTCGGATCGTTCCTATCCACCAAAAACATCGGCATCTTCCTTATTATGTTATGCATTGCACCTGAAACGCTGAAAAAATAAACAAAAACGGCGCCGGAAAGCCAAATCTTGGGATCGTGTAAGAATGTTTCCCCGGCGAAGATCTTTTTGATTATGAATGGAGCAGAGATCAACAAAAGGGCAACGATCAATCCCATTTGCGTTTTGGAAATAATAGGAGGACGATGGAGTGGACCCACGGTGAGTTTAGTTCTCGACTCGACGAACTCGGCCATAGACTCGGCCATTCGAGAGAAATCGCCCTGGTCCATCTGTTCGGAGTCATCCTTCAACGATTTGGCGTTGGGGCCGACGAGGCGGATGTGGGGGAGGGAGTTGACGCCGAAGAGGTGGAAAGAGGATTGGGATTCGCGGAACTCGATGTCGGCGAAGAAGAGTTTGGTGTTGGAGTTGTTGTAGTTGGCGATGAAGGAGGAGGCGACGAGGGAGAACTCACGGCGGAGGTCGAGGAGGTGGAGTTCGGACTTGTCGTGGAGTTGGGTGGCGTCGAAGAAGATGAGGAGGGAGTAGGGTCGAGGGGTTTTGGGGGAAGTGAGGAATTTGGCGATGGTTCGGTCGTCTAAGTGGATGACTCCCGATTTGGATTCCGACTGAAGGGCGAGGAGATCGGCAACCAGTTCGGATTCGGGTTCGGATCCGGCAGTGGGAATTGAAAGGAAAAGTGAAATGGTGAGAAGGGGAAGGAAGAAGATAGCAGTAGAAGCGGGAGAGATCGCCATTGCTTTGCTTTGGGATTGGCGGATTTGGCGACAGCCGACAAGGTGAGGCTGAGTTTTGTCTAGTTTTTACGTTTCAGATTGGACAAGAGGAAGGCGTTGACAAGTTGATTTTTCCTTGACCTTAAGTTCGTAGAAACGGCGTCGTTTGGTATGTTTGATAAATGGTTCGGGCCAATATTGAATTGAAATTTTGCTGGAGTGAAGCCCAAACCAAATGGACTATATCAGAAGTCAAATCTTGCTAGGCAGTAGGCACCTACAAGGCATAAGCCGATAACTAGTGAAGTAATAACTGGGATGTCTCAGGAAAGGCGGGTTAATATACGGCTAATATACAGCATTACCGGATATATTAAAATGTATTTAATAAATTCGGTTTAGCGGTACCTATTATGTTGACAACTAATAATGTTTTAGGTAGAAAATATGAAAAACTATTAAAAAATTTGGTAACCGGTAAACTTTGGTTATCGGTAAGTATCTATCATTTTTATAAAAGTGTCCATACTTTTAACATATCAAGTAAATTTTACCGGTTTTGTCATAATGAATCTGGTTTTGTCATATTTTGACCTGTTATATTGTAAATTATCTATCTTTTTTATAAAAGTGTCCATACTTATTTCACTGTGAAAATATATTTATTATTATCTTTAGTTAATATTGTTAAATTTAAAATCTAAATAATATTTTATAAAATATCAAAACAATCAAATAATTTTTTGTGTAAATGAAATTATTAAATTAATATTGTAGGTGGAAAACATGAAACACTATTAAATAAATTGAAACATAAATTACATAACTTTCAAAAAATTATATATCATTTTTATAAAAGTGTCCATACTTATTTCACTGTTGAAAACATATTTATTATTATATTTGGTTAATATTGTTAAATTTAAATTCTAAATAATATTTTATAAAATATCAAAACAATCAAATAAAATTTTGTGTAAATTAAATTATTAAATTAATATTGTAGGTGGAAAACATGAAACACTATTAAATAAATTGAAACATAAATTACATAACTTTAAAAGCAGTTTTAAATCCTAAAAAGTGTCGATACTTTTAAAAAATATATCGATCCAAAACGATATACCAGGTAAAAATATGATAAAACCGGTAACAAAATGATAAAACCGGTAAATTTAAAAGTGTCGATACGTTATATAAGGATCGACACTTTGTGAATTTAAAAGAGAAGCAGTTATAGCGCCTATAATGTGTCGATACTTTAAAAAAATATATCGATCCACAACGATATAACAGGTAAAAATATGATAAAACCGGTATCAAAATGATAAAACCGGTAAAATGATACCGGATATATTGAAAGTGTCGATACTTTCGTAAGTACGTGTAATAAATTATCGACACTTTCAAAGAAATAGGTAATTATCCTTTCGAAAGTATCGACACCTGACATAAAAGTATCGACACTTTTATATTTGTATCGATTAAATATAAATAACATATCCGATGAAAATATAAAGGTCATAGCTAAATATCCTCTGAAAAAAGATAGAACGAACGAGTTTTTGAAATCGAAGAGTAATTGTTGCTGCATTTCAGAAGGCGTTTCTAAAGCGAAGTTTGTTTGTTTGTTGCTGCAGTCGAATCGAAAAGTATGTTGTCGAAACCCTAATTTTTTATTATTACAGTAATCGCGATAGGGTTTTTTATGTGTTGTTTGGGGTTTTGGAGTAAGGAAGCATTTGGGACCGATTGCAGGTAGAAATAGATATTCAAGGAAAAATATAAATGTCGATACTTTTATTAAATATTATAGGTAGAAAATGATATTATAGGTTGTATAAATGTGCCGACACATTTTGGTGTGGCCATTCAAATTCTTTTGAAGAAAACCGTTTTACCACAAGAGTAGTTATCTATATTTGTATATTGAATAAAGTGTATGTAACGAAATAATTTGATTTGCGTAAACTGATATATGAAGGAAAAATGGAGTCAATGGGTTGGAAAATTGTTGGTGGAGCAGATGACTTTGAAATTGAGGCCGAGACTCGAAAGCAACCAAAGGGTGGATATAAGTACTTCTAGTAAGTATCAATGTCCTTTTGTTATTATTGTTGAAATGGTAATTGGATTAAAGTATCGATAAACTTTAAATTGATTACAAATTTTAAATGTTAACAGTATGGCCGAATGCAAAAGGATGAAGGGAGATGACACACAGAGCGGTTCGGTATGTAAAATGAAATTGACATTGAGTAGTATTAGTATTTAGTGTTAATGTATTGATTAAGAAACGTTTATGTTTAATATTAGGTGAAAAAAGATGTGAGGTCCAAATGGAATTCAATGAGTGATGCTGAAAAGGAACCTTACATCACACAGTCAAGGAATGATAGTAAAGAGTACAAAGAACGGAGGAAAGCACTAGAAAATAAGGTATTCATTAAACTTGTAAATACGTTGATACAAAATATATAAGAACTATAACATTATATATTGTTAAAAAATGTAGGAAGTGTCGACAAGATGCAGCATTAAAAGGGTGAATTTATTAATTAAACACCTTAAGGAGAAGGATCAGTTGAATGTGCTGGGAGAAATAGGTTTTGGATCGTTGATCGGAGTAAGGGATCGACCTATTCAGAGGGAATTGTGTCGATCCTTGATGGCACAATTTGACGTCAGTCAATGTATGGCTAAGTATGGTGATTATTCATTCCCTCTGGGGGTATCGACTGCTGCAGCCGTATTGGGGGTACAAAACAAAGGCAAAAGTGTTATAGAAGTCTGTAGGAGTAAGAACTGGAAAGCACTTGCCTCCAAATATGGTTTGAATCATAAGGTGACATATGCTGAAGTTGAAGAGGATATCAAAAGTGGATCTTACTGGGGGGATAAGCTGAAGGCCCGAGTTCTATTGTACCTTGTCGGGATATTTCTTTGTCCAACGGGTGATACGTCAACGAACAAGGAATATATGAAGCTCATTTGCGATGAAGGCTTGAAGGGTGAATTCAATTGGGCTGAATATATCCATTCGAGATTGATTGAATCAATAATCACCTTTAAAAAGGGCAGCCAGAGATACCACAAAGGGTGCATAGCAATCTTAGAGGTAAATGAGTTGAATCACTTTTTTTGTGATTTTATATAAAAATATAAATTTTATTATAAATGCAGGTTGCACTGTTCGATTTTTGGTCGGGCTGTGAGGCAGTGCCGGCTTATGAAAGAACCGGAGTGGCACGCATCCGTGCATGGGGGAAGGAAGAGGTGGTTAGAGTGATGGTGAAGTTGAAGTTGGATAGAGGGAAGAAGCAAGAAATGGTAATAAATGTAATTAAATAATATTAAGAATATAATCAATGTCTTAATATTGTAATTTAATTTTGAAGGTTATTGGCAAGGATGTAGAGGAGGCAGTGGAGGCAGAGGAGAAGAAAGGAGGGATGGTTGTATTGGGGGATGACGGTGAGTGGGACGACGGTGAAGCAAAACAGAGTAACTTCGACATTTTGATGTCTGAATTGGCTGATATCAAAAAAATCCAATTTGAAATCATGCAAAGACAATCAAGAGTCGAAGAGAAACTTGATCAAGTCGTAGAGAAACTCGAGAGAGTCGAAGATACACTCGAGAGGCATAAGGGGGTAGTGGAAGGAAAAATAGATGGAGTGGTGAATGAAGTAGAGGTATTGAGGGGTGAAGTGGTGAAAGAAGTTGGGGTGTTAAGGGGTGATATTAAGATGGTGACGGGAGAAAAATTTGAGGGAGTGGTGAAGGAGGTTGTGGATTTGAGGAGTGAACTCACGGGGGTGAAGGGGGTGGTTGATAAATACTCGGATGAAGGAGCTCAATTGAAGGGTGAAATAAAAGAGATGAAGAGCTATGTAGAAAAAAAGTACGATGAACTGAAAAAATATGAAGAAGAAAAGAGGGAGGAGGAAGAAGAAGAGATGGAAGAAATGAGGAGGAAGGAAGTCGATGTCATTTATACACCGGAGAGTGTTATAGCAGCAGTTTTGGTCACCAATGTTAGCTTGTGCATTGCGAGAAAGATGCCAAGAACATAATCTGTGCTTAGCATAAGGGATAACAGATTTGATAGCCCTCTGCATTGCCCTATCCCCATCGGTTACAACAGAAATAGGTGATTTATTCATCATGGCTTCTAAAAAATTCTGTAGCACCCACTCGAAAGATTGAGACGTCTCGTCAGCGATTATGGCAGTGGCAAACACAATTGTGTTATGGTGATGATTGACACCAACAATAGGCATAATTGGTCGACCATACAAATTATCTTTGTACGTTGTGTCGAACGCAATTACATCACCGAAGCATGTGTAATCCGATCTCGATGTAGAATCCGACCAAATAAGATTATACAATGCCCCCGATTCGTCTACCGAGTATGTCATAAAAAACCCGGGATCATCATGTTTCTTATAATCAAAGTAGGCAATAAGCGCATTCACATCCCCATCGACGATTTCCTTTGCTTTACCTCTTTGAAGTGCATTGTAGAGGTCTTTATGTGTAAATCCAACATTATGATAGCCCCCTGCCTGCTGCGTTAAATAGTTCATTACTTGTGACGTGCCAACACCGACCTCTTTCAATGTTGTTGCCTCATCGATATCAGCCTTACTTACAGCTCTATTAGAACGCATAAATGGTGTCATAGCAGATGTGCACAATGCATGATTATGTTTCTGATCAGACTTACTTATAACCCACTGATCGTTTGTATTTGTTGCTGTAACTACGACTCTAGCCTTACATCATGTTCTTGTGACTGGCGTATGAGCACGTTGACGATCAACAATATTGACTTTTGATACTCGAAACCCTTCTTTGGAACAACAAAATTCTTGTGTCTTCACATTCCCTTCCACGTCAAGCCGTGTTGTTCCCTTACGTGCACTAAACCCATGTTCCCGTGCGAATCCCTAGTAAAAGTGCCAAGCTTGATCACGTGAACAGAAGAGCTGACCAACCAATCTGTCAGATTCATCAACATTATGTACTTCATGGCATTCCTCGGTTGGCTTAACATTGTCTAC